CAAAGAGAGGTCGGTTTATATTGATCCAATCTTTGACAAAAATGTGGCGTCGATTGCTGTTCAGTCCTCGAATATTCCACGCAAAAAACATATATACTGATTAATGTGCTTTGGCCTTGCGGCCGCTCTTCTTGTAAGAGACCAAGAAGAAAGGAGCTTCTTCTTCTTTACTAAAGATTTCCCCACTCTTCGGTGCAGATGCGACTGTAGAGGAGCCGGCTCTGCTGTTCTGAATCACCTCTTTGCTAGGTGCCTCTTGATCAACTTGACCAACTCCGCTTTCATCTGGAGACTTTGAATCAGAGGTGGGTATGATGCTTCTATCCTTTTGATCAACGCGTCTCCATACCAGTCCTGAGTGACCCAATTCATTTGCCGGGGGGGGCACTTCTACCTTTCCTGGTCCCAACAACAGAGTTATGAACCTCTTCCATTCAGGCAGTAACCGAGTCAGACACTTAGTTTCTATATCTTTACGAAGAGCTGCTCTCCCAGAGCGAGATTTCCTTGCGCGGCAACGAGGACCTCAACTTGGGGATCGACTGAGCTTTCTCCCTGATGCCGGAACCTGAAGGCTCTTGATGTGGCATCTATTTCCTTCGTGACCATAATGCCCACATTCGCAGCACTTCACCGGCATCCATGGGTAAGATACTGAAATCAGAACTTCCCTGCCATTTGAAAAGCCTGAGACGATCTTTGAGGGTAGCTCCTTCTGAAGATCAATGCGCACATAGACCTTTGTGACTTCAAAGTTTTCTTTCCTTTCAGTTTCAGGGGCTAGTTTCACCGGCTTCCCGATAGCAGTAGCGAGGCGACTTAAACTCTGCTTGTTAAAAAGCAGGTATGGTACTTGCCGAAATTCCACAGGAACAACAGCTGAGGTGAGAGGTGGGACTTCCAGTGAGAACTCCGGTGACCACGGAGCCACGAACGTAGGAAATCCAGCTATATTCCACATGCTTCTACTCAAAAGAATTTCCCTTGTTCTAGGGTTAGAGACCTTAAGCAGATAGATGCCAGGGCCGATGTTGTGAACAAAGATCCTAGGACCTGTACGTGCCCAAATAGCGTTTACCACTCCGATAATTCGACCCATAACGGGGGAATCACCGTGAAAACGAGCGAAAATGAAGTCCTTAAACTCCTCCTTAGCTGATTCGATGTTCTCATCTGGGATTAGAACGAACGGCACACCCGTAACGTGCTGAGAGGGCTCACCAACTTCCTCGAGCTGACTAGAGTCTTTCAAGAGAGACGCCCAATTCCGTTCTTGCTGAGCCAACGAGGGACTACTAAGATTTACAGCAACGGTAGAGTTGGAGCTGGAGGCTGGACCTTCAACAGCTATCACGGAATCCCCTACCACTACTGAGGGAACATAAGCTTTAACGGCTGGAAAGAGTCGAGCTTTGAACGGTATTATGCGGTTCGAGATCTGGGGAGGGTTCATTTCCCGAGGGAGAGGAGCCACCCAGATCTGCATCAGCACCATCCGAAATGGGGACGACTAGGGAAGGAGGCACCGCCAAATCGGAGGAGGAGGCATCTCGAGAGGGGTTAAGAACATTCGCAGAGCCGCGGTCCTTACGAAGCTTCCGGCGGCAGAATTTGGAGGCATTGCGATTACACGGGCGAATTTAGACGTTGAAGGGGGCCAGTGAATCGCCTTTTTCTTTTTTTTTGGTCGCAACATTTTTCAGTATTTTATTCAATAGGATTTATCTCACTGATTCGAGTGCTACGTACTCACAAGAAGAAGTCAAGAAGTTTTGTGAGAGAGCTGATGCAGTAAGTTATACAACTCATCGATCATTTCAGAAATTCTCATCATACATAGATTTATCTCACTGATTCGAGTGCTACTTACTCTCAGATCATTAAGAAGGTTCGTGAGAGAGCTGCTGCAGTAAATTATACGACTCATCGAAATCATTTCATAGATTTTCATACATTTAATATATATATATGATATTTTTTTCAATAGGATTTATCTCACTGATTCGAGTGCTATATACTCTCATCAGGATGCCATGAAGGTTGCTGAGTGAGCTGCTGCGGAGGAAGCTCATCAAAAGTTGTCAGAGCTCAGGTAAACTAATAATAACCCATGAACAATCTCAATCTCTTTCTCTCTCTACATTTCCTAGTGTGCTTATCTTTTTGGGTATGTTCATATGTTTGGCAGGATTGCTGACAAGGAGTAATCTGGCTGGAATCTGGTGACTTGAAGACGTATAATCTAATTATTCAAGCATGTAGTTTGACATAACCTATACGTATAATCTAATTATTCAATAGTAACAGCGTCTCTCGTTTTTATTGCCTATATTTATATGCTTAGTTTTTTTTTTTAATATTATATTAATAAACCGGATTACAAACCCAAACTAAATCCGAATGGGTCTGGAAAATCGGGCTAACCAGAAACAAAAGAAATTGAAAAAAGCGAACCAAACAAAAAAAACAAACCGGAATCAAACCAAATGAAAACCCTAAAACAACGCGTCCGCCGTTAGGAAGAACTCTCGCCGTCGACTCTCCCCTCCGTCCGATCAGGACCTCCGACGAAAGGCACCAGAACAGAAAACCTCCGATGCAGCCAGGAACCTTCGATCTAGCCCAGAACGGCCCAGAACCACCGTAAGAGATTTGGGAAACCGAGGCTACCACAATCTCTTGAACTCTGACGAAGACGAAGACGCCGCACAGCTCACCCCAACCACAGATGAGACGAGGGGTAAGGTGGGAAGGAGACAAGCCGGGAAAGACCTGCCACTTTGCTTTGCCACTGTCCCTGGGCGGCTCCGCTACCACAGTCAGCCACATCCGACAAAAACCTCCGCAAACCCACTCACCCAACTCTGACCCAAGGCCAAGGCTTCGCCACACCGACGCGTCAAACGCCAGCCACCACCGCCTGAACAAACGAGTAAGATTCCGTCACCGGACCACGTCCTCAAAGCCCAGATCTGGAACACACTAGCCGCCGCAGACGGGAGCCAGATTCACCTTTGTCACTCAGATCTCTTCCCAGAATCGACGGAGAAGCCCTCTTTCCCACGATTGAAGAGCAGACGGGGATCAAAAGAAGAAGAAAAACGCGGGTTCCCTCACAGTGCCGGCATCACCGGAGGGAACCGCTGAAAAACTCGACGAAGAAGAGACTGAGAAGAAAGGAGAGAAAAAATCGCCTCGCGTGAATTACATGCGTAATAATTATCGGTTTAGCAAATCCTATATGCTTAGTTTTCATTAGGTGAAGATAGTGTAATCTTTGTTGTGGGCCTTGTCAATGCTGAGAAGGCAGAGGTACTCCATAGTCGTGTCAAAGAGATTGGCACTTTGTGCTCTGTCAGATATAATGAGCTTTCCAAAGATGTGACCCACGTACTGAGAAAGAGACTTCAAATCAACAAATTGTCAGTTTTCTTTATGCATTTTAATCCATATTGCATAAATAATTTTAAAGAGACGGCTTTAAAATGTGGCAAATTAATCCATATTCTTATTTTTTGTGTTGCAAACATGTCGTTGTTGTTTTGTATCCTTAGAACTAGACCGAATCCGAACCTTGACAAATCAATACATTTATTTTAAAACCGGACCGTTTCAGGTCAACAAAACGTACCTTGTGAAATAAATAAGCCCATAACGATTTTTTTTTTACGGCAAACAATTTCATTGATTTCAAATTAGAATTACAAAGTCATACAAAAATTTTATAATACAAATTATTACATAAGCAGATATATGCGCCATATAGTGAAAAAGATACAACAAAAGAAGTGATTTTGACGATGCTTTCTGTAGATTAGTCTTACTCGCTGACGAATCATGAAATCCGTTATTTCCTTCTCCGTATTTGATCTTAATCTGATGCGAGTGTGTCGGTAACATCTCTTAGCTAAACCTTTGAATTACACACTGCATGACAAAACCCGATGTTTCCAATAATAGTTCTGGAACTTCGACATTCTGAGACCAATGCTTCCGTATCAGAGTCTTCTTACAATATTTCGACTTTGTTGTTCTCCTAATTTGATATAATGAAAACCTTATTTCTTCTTCTAAGAAATTGATTTTTCTAGTGATTCCGGGATCAAAAATCCAAGTGACACCTCTATACCGTGAAATAAAAGGACAATCACCGGTTGATAACCGGACTTTACACCGGCAGAGTAAGAACTCATCGGAAGCAAAAACTCTACTAAGAGATACTTTAAGATTCCATTGAACCATCACTAGAATAAGAAAAGGAAGAAAAAGCTTCCACTTACCAAAAAAATTGTTATAAGCGAATTGCATTGAGCAAAGTGTGTTGATCCTTTTTTGATATTGCAATTAACCACCCATGTACGAATGCAAACCCAGGCACACAGACCCATGCATCGATTCGGTGATGTGTATTCATTTACAATCACCATTAGAAGGGGATGTTGAAACGACCAAAAAATCAACAAATTAATAGCCCAAGAATTTACAAAAGAGAGATTAATCATATCAGACTTGACTGGTGATCACAAAAGGAATAAGAGAAATCAACCCAATCGGAATCTCTCTACCAATCAATGGATGTCACCAAATCTGATAGGAATTTAATGGATTAAAATATCTACAAACCAAACGAATACAGCCTGCATCAGAGCCGACGCCGGCCGGCCGGAGAAAACGAAAAAACGCCTGGAAAACTTCTGTGTCTGATAATGATAATCGTCTTTCGCAGAGAAAGAAAACGGTAAGCCCATAACGGTTAACCAAGAAACAACAGATGTGTGTGCCAACTCACATTCTCGCGGGAAAATAAGATCACGCCTACTACATACATGTCAATCTATCGCCACTTGTCAAATCATAACTGGTTTTGAATTCAGTTTCCAAACATTCCGCTTTCTTCGATTAAAAAAAAATATCTCTTTAAGATCCTCCCCAAGATCTCTCTCTCAGTATATATATAATCAAATCCCTCTTTCTTCTCTCCATATCTAACCAAACTCATGATGGATCAGTTTAGGGCTTTGTTCTCCGTTTCTCTTGTCCTCTTTGTGTTGGTCTCTGTTTCGTTTTGTGAGGACGACAGCGACGATCTATTGATCCGACAAGTGGTTAATGTAACGGAGCCGAGAGTTTTGTCATCGGAGGATCACTTTGCTCTGTTCAAGAGAAAATTCGGCAAGGTTTACGGTTCTGTTGAGGAGCATTACCACAGATTGTCGATTTTCAGACGAAACCTTCTGCGAGCAATGCATCACCAGAGGATGGATCCTTTTGCTAGCCATGGAGTTACTCAGTTTTCGGATCTGACTCCTTCTGAGTTTCGGAGAATGCATTTGGGTGTCAAAGGTTTAGGCTTTAAGATTCCCAAAGACGTTAATCAAGCCCCGATTCTCCCTACGCAGAATCTTCCCAAAGAATTTGACTGGAGAGATCGTGGCGCTGTTACTCCCGTGAAAAACCAGGTATTGTATGATGATGAAGAATTTGATGAAGAATATGATCAAAATCTAATAGATTTTGTGTCTTTTAATTATTATTGAGTTTAGGGATCTTGTGGATCCTGTTGGAGTTTCAGCACTACAGGTGCGCTTGAAGGTGCTCACTTCCTCGCAACTGGGAAACTCGTCAGTCTCAGTGAACAACAGCTCCTCGATTGTGATCACGAGGTCTGATTCATTTGCGTTGTTGTTTGCTCTCACCATCTTTGTTTTGGAAGATTCATTCATGATGTGGTTCACTTTGTCTGTGTGTTTGTATCTACGTAGTGTGATCCAGAACAGGCAGGTTCATGTGACTCTGGTTGCAACGGTGGGCTCATGAACACCGCCTTTGAGTACACGCTCAAAACAGGAGGGCTCATGCGAGAGGAAGATTATCCATACACCGGCACTGATGGTGGGACCTGCAACTTAGACAAGTCTAATATTGTTGCTTCTGTTTCCAACTTCAGTCTTGTCTCTATCAACGAAGATCAGATCGCTGCAAATCTTGTCCAAAACGGTCCTCTAGCTGGTAATATAAATCACTCCCTGCCTAACCTCAGATTTCAAACAAATAATATTAAAAGCTGAATCTTAAGTTTTGGATTTTTGTCCTTGCAGTGGCAATCAACGCAGGTTATATGCAAACCTACATTGGAGGAGTCTCGTGCCCTTACATATGCTCGAGACGGCTCAACCACGGTGTCTTGTTGGTTGGTTATGGTTCTGCCGGGTTTGCTCAAGCTAGGCTCAAGAAAAAGCCGTATTGGATCATCAAAAACTCATGGGGAGAAACTTGGGGTGAGAATGGTTACTATAAGCTATGTAGAGGTCGTAACATTTGTGGTGTTGACAGCTTGGTTTCCACCGTCGCTGTCTCCGTCTAGAGGTTTTCATTTTCCATTCAGACAATCTTCATCGCCTTGTCTTTTTTTTTTGTTTTAAACAAGTTGAAAACCTGTAAATAAAATTAATGAAATGCATTTCTCCGTGCAAATTCAACCTGCTAAATCACAAGAACACACGCTTTCTCACGGATCAGAAACATCTCAAAGAAGACACAGGAAGGATAGAAACCACACACACTATTGTTCTCAAAACTCTGTTAATAGAAGATTCACCATGTATCAAACAACAAAGAAAGTGAAAATGGCAATTTTCATAAAAATCCTTTGACAAAAAGTTTCATAAAAATCTCTCTACCGTCTCCATGACTCACGAGTTCAGCGCTGAAAAGCCTGCCTAATCACTTGGTCAGCTTTAACTCCATGATATCTCTGACACGTTTTGACACACGAACAAATTCGTTGAACAACAAGAAATCAAATTTGCATGTTTGGCTTCTTGAGCTTTCTTCACAGAAATCATTTGGTGTTGGTGGGTTTTGACATATGACAATGTCAAATCCTTCAAATCTCTCAACTAAACTCTCCAACTTCTTTAACGACACTCTCGTGATATCTTCAATCTCCACAAGCTCTCCAGTTTGTCCAGAATTATTCCACCATCTTTTCATTATGTCCCGGCTCAATCTACAGTGCTCAACGGTTACCACACATCTCAGATGAACGTCAAGTCGGCTTAATGCAATTTCCGCGCCACCAATTCCACTAAATAACGATAGAACTCTTAATCCCTGTGGAAACAAAGTCTTGAGGACAGAGAGATGATATGCCAACGTCTCTGTTTGGAAGCAATAGTCAAGCATCTTCAATCTCTCAGCCAGTCCTACCCCACCCATTTTTGTGTGGTTTGCTGGATATCCCATAACAGACTCTAGATATTCAGGTGTTCTGTCTTGCAAAGTCAACTGTTGTCTTGGGAGGATCTTGAACCGGTTTTCAGTAGGGAGATTATGCACATACCCTTCTAACCTATGGAACGCTGAGAATAACCGAGTATCAACATGTTCAGGCTGAATTTCATCCAAGAAGCTTGATATCTTCGACCACCAGTAAGGAGATAATTCAGTGATGTTTCCATAAAGGAAATAAGGTCTTTTGGCGACATCTGGCTGAAGCACCTGGGACAAACGTGGCTGCATTGCACTGGGAACTCCATATGTGTTCTCTTTTGACTCATCTTGCATTCTTGGAAGTTCCATAAACGAACTTGAATCTCCCATATACCCAGGTCTTAGCCGTTTCCTTCGGTCATCAGTGTCGGCATTCTCAACTTCATCTTTCAGTTTTTTACCCTTTGATGTCTCTCCTAGATTGGCAGTGCCACTCGACGAACCCACATCATCATCCTTTTTCTGGGCACCAACACCAACAAATCTCCAACCTTTTGAAGGACATGCACCATTTGCTGCAGACGGAGCCGCTAAAACTTTCTACAAATGGCACCAAATATCATTAAATTAAGATCCAACAATATCTTAGCATACTTAAGGCGAAAAGAATAAAATGGTTTCATGATAGAAAGAGTAGCAAAAGCTCTAGTTTTCAATGCGTGAAAATTTAATAATTAAATAATAGAAGGAACATACTTTTTCTGTATTTGCAAGGTCATGATGAAAACCACCAGGAACTTCACCAGCAATGATTGACTCAGCGAGATCTGAAATTTGACCTTCTGTACCTGTGCAAAATAAATAATAGTTTTCTCATTTCAACTTTCGATTATAATGATCATCTCTATATATATAAACCATGATTCATATCTATTTAGTGGCAGGAGATCAGATCGGTGTTTCATTCTATACAACTGAGGAACAGGTGAATGCCTATGTTGCTCACCTATTTTCTCAATTGCCATTGAGATTTGATGATCAGAGAATCCCATTTCCAATAAACGTAAGGTTTTATCCATTTTCTCAAACAGTAATTCATTGGGAACCTGGATGTAAAACATAAAATAAAAGGTTAGAGGTAATAACCACATGAATAAATACAAAAATGAACCTAGAAGAAAGGTAGTGGAATCTACTAAGGCGAAGCAACAAATGGAGATGAAGGAAACATGACAGAGCGTAAAAGAAAGCATTAGCAAGGAAATCAACAGCTTGTCTAAAGCACCACATACATCTGGTTCTCTAGCAACAACTGGAATGACATCCTCAGATTCTTCTGCATACTTTTCCGCTAACTGAGCAGCAACAATGAAATCTGCTATCACATCAATTGGCGCATCTTTACCTATCACACATAAAAAAAAATAATGAAGAAATGCACTAGCAACTCGCCAAATGAGAGTTGCTTTCCACATGCGAAGTTTCTGTATGACTCCAAATAACATAAGAACCTTTCCTAAAATCTGGATGCAATTATCTATTATGATCATATGCAATGGCTTTCACCTTTGGACATTATTTAAAGAACATAACATCTTAAATGTTATTTCTCATATCAGAAAAAATACGTTAGAGTTCCAGTAAATTATTTGCAACTTTTGCTGTTAGAAATCATGAATGGAAAGCCAAAGTCATTGGGTATTAAATACATTACCAAGTTTATCTAGTGCAAAGTTAACTAAATTTTCAGGAAACTTCATTGTTAGCAGCATAGTCCTAGTACCATCAGCTTCATATTCAATATCCGGTTCCTGTCAAAGATAAAAGAAACAAAACAATATCAGACTACTTGATTTTGATTATTGATAATCAATATTATCCTTGTACATGTCATGCGATTTACCGGTTTTGGTTCCATAGGCCCATGAAAGCTGGGTTGAGGAAGTTCAGTCACAGTCGTCTTAGTGAGAATCTCTATTAACAATTCAATATCATCATGACCTGGATGTGAAAAGAAAGCAACCTCAGTAATCAAATTCCCCAAGATTAAAGTTAACATACACAATAGCCTTTCATAAGATGACTATACTTTCTGATTTGTAGAAAAGAAACACTTGATTAATACCATTTTCATCAATTGCTTTCTGAACAAGAGTAGAGCAAAATCCCATGCCAATCAGCATTGACTTCACATGCATTGCAGACGAACTAGCAGCAGCAGCATTGTCCTGGACATCAAGCAGGAAACAAATATGAACCTTCCTGAACCATAAGAGAACGTTTAAAAACAAAATGTAGACAAGAGTGAATGTTAGTTTGTGTGTCTCTAGCTACGTATAACGTACACCAATATGGGTCTCGTCAAAATCCAAGGTCTCTGGTTTTGGAAATTCTTCATTCCTTTCACGATCAGAGGAACCTCCTTCACCTCGGTTGCGTTTCTGCAAGATTCCCAAAACTTATGAAGAAATGCAACACAGCCCCAAAAAAAGAAAGAAGAAAACTTCCAAATTAGACGAATTTAATACCATTTTTGGATAAAATGGACTTCACGAGAACATGAAACCCTGCACATGAATTGATTTTAAAATGTGTTAGTGTCAGTGACCCATGATGAAAAACCACATCACGTGGAAGAAAAAAAGGAGAAATTAGGGCAGCTTCTTGCTTGTTCATTAATATTGGGGAAAAGATGAATATTTAATTAACAATCGAAAAAAGTCGTAAATCCTTGCCCTAATATATATAAATCTATCCGACAAGTGAGTGAGAGTTTCAGTAAATCCCTAAATTCACACAAATGTCGAAAAGATTGCGACAAAGAGGGACCCAGATGTCGAACAGAGAGAGAGATGAGGAGGAAGAAGGTGCTTGCCTAGTGCTGTTCCTGTTCGCGATGGTCCACCTCAGAGTCAATTTTATGGTCTTATCCGAAAATTATGCCGCTTCGTATATCGCTCGCGTGAGTAGAACGAACGGCCCAGATCATAGATAATTTCTTATAGATTTTTATTAAAAAATGGAAAATACAGCTCAAGTAAATAATCTCTCCGTTTTATGTCCACGATTTATAATTTTAAATGCAAAACTTGTATAAGGTTATTAATCTCTGTTTACTAGATTTTGAAATAAATGGAAGCAATCCACTAATATGTAATTAAAAATACAATAGAATCTAAATCCAACCACAATCTATTCTTGTTCAATGATTCTAAATATCTATTATATTAAACCAGAAACATTTTTTGTGTTTGTTTCTAAACCTCCCAAAAATTTTCTTAAAAATATTTTTTTTATAAATATAAATTTAATTCCGAAAATTAGATATTAATTTAGTATATTTAATTTAAAATTCAAACTATTTTATAATTAATTAAATTCTTTTAAATATATATTAATTTCAATTACTTTAAATTTTCTTGAATATATGTTAGATTTAATTTAATATTTAAAAAATAAATAATATTTTTAGAATAACACATATAATTAACAAATATTTTTTTATATTTTTTAATCATATTCAATATAAGATCAAAATTTCATATATTGAAAACTGATAAATATTAATATTATAAGATAATTTGATGAGGCAGTATATTTTTTTTTAATTATAATCTTATGCGGATTATGTTATCAAAACATGCAATATATTAAAAAAATTATTTCAAAATTAGTAAATATTTATATTATATGGTAATATGAACAAGTGGATTAGAACTATTATTTCATAACCACAATCATTTTCGGATAATAGAATAACCGAGTTAGAAATATGTTTTTATAATAACAGTCATTTTTTATCAATAGAATTACTGTGTTTTTTATGATCATGGTCATAATAATACTAGAAAAAAATTTTAAAATAAATTATATCTAAATAAAAAATATTTATCAATTATTAAAAAAATTATATTTATATAAAAAATAGAACTTACATTACAAATTTGAATTTATAAAAAAAATCATGTGCGAATACACGGGGTAAAATCTAGTTATGTTTTAAAATCCGATGTTATTAGATCATTTGATTGTAAATTAGATTTTAAATTTTGGTGTTATTTTAAAATCTTTCACTAAAATATAGTGCTATTCAAAATTAAATGATTTATAAAATCTTTCTATATTAATTCATTTCAAATCAATTCCAATTGAGTTTTATGAGTAAATTATCAAAACCAAAATTTAGGGAGTGTTATTCAATTATGAATTTCAAATGAATTTTTTTAGGTTTTATAATCTTCTAAATTTAAAAGTTGATATCAGTTTTATGGATTCATTTGTTTAGATTCTAAAATATCTGCAATATACATTATATTTTGATTCTAATAATAAAATTCTATTGGAATTGATTTGAAATGACTTAACATATAAAAATTTTAAAAGTTTATTATTTTGGAATAACACTAGATTTTAATGAAAGATTTGAAATCTTCATTGAACAACACCAAACTTTAAAAATTTAAACATGATTTACAATCACATAATCCAATAGAACTAGATTTTAAAACATTATTTAAAATCATTAGTTGAATAACATTGGATTGTGGTTGGATTTAAATTATATTAAAAATTATGATTGAATAAAATCTCTGAAATATGCGGAGTGTTCTAAACTAATGAATTCATAAAAATTAAATCTCGATTATAAAATCTGTAAATTTTATTTTAAATTCATGATTGAAGCTTAAAATATATTAGATGTTGTAAAGACAAAATTTAACAAATCTACAAAGTGTGAAACATTCAATTCTGATGAAACAAAAGAAGTTATTTAGTTTTGTAGAAAACAATAAAAAAAATCACTAGTAAACTTTGAGAATGATACGTTTGATGATTAAATATTTCAAAGATTAATAGAAGATGGTCTTTTACACCAAGATATATATATTGTTCTTGTTGACGAATTAAGTCTTGTTGAGTTTGTAACAAACTGACCACCAAGATAATGTGATCTAGATGGTATGTATTGCCAAGTGCATATATATGCTTATAATTTTGTAAAAATTGAACAACTTCTTTCTTTTTCCATATTGCGTACGAAAGATGAACCATGAACATCACTACAATGAACAACTGTTTTTCAAACCAATACCAATCAGACCTTGAGTTGAGGTTGAACTTCGCCATTAACGAAGTGTTGTTTGTCAAATAGAGATAAGTAAAAGTCTGGTCGAGGAACCAAAAAAAGGTATGGACAAATGGATGAATTGTGCAAAATGGAAAGGGGTCATCTCCAAACGGCATTGTAGCTTGAATGTTTTTTTTGCTGTTTTAACTGCATTATCATCATCTCGTCTCACTTCCATTGGTATTTTTGATCGTCTTGCTAACCATTTTGCTCTGTTCATTTACATTTGGCTTCTGCTAGAATGCTCTGTCCATTGCTCTGTCCATGAGATCCCCCGTTTGCGATGGCCCAAATGTTTGCTTAACGAACTATTCTTTTGGTTTTAGTAGTTCCATTTTCAGCTTTGATGATTCTCTTTATATTATTAAAAAAAGGTTTTAAGTGGTTTTGTGTTTTTCAATCTATTTGAAAAATCAAATTAAAAAAAGGGAGACGACACAACACCAGCATATATTCTTAATAATCAAGCACAACAACAAATAGGGCTTTTTAACCTTAAATAATCCCATTCTTCCCCATCTCTCCTTTTTTTATTATTATAATTATTTTCACCATTTTTTTTCCATCCGCAAAGGTAAATAATTTCAATATAACCTTCTAAATAGGGAAAAGGGGGAAGAGAAAACATCCCAAAGTTTTTCCTTTCCTTACACAAAAAGAAAATAAAAAAATTTGATTGAAAGAAGGAAGTCCCAATCCTTTTCATACCTTATATATGCACACGCAGAAGAGAGCATTTTCGGTAATTCAAGACTCGATCATCACTCACACTTCACTCGTCTTCGTTTCCGACGAGTACGAACGTGAAAGGAGCAAACTTGTAACCATCGCCTTCGTAGAACTTGTTCTGATACTCCACCCAGTGAAGACGCAGCGCGTGAAGGAACGCGCTCAACGTCTCCATCACCAGAAGCACTCCCACGGTTGCAAAGATGAAGACAAGTATCCCAACGATCAGGATGAAGATATTGTTGAAACTTTTGCCGGAAACAAAAAAGCAAAACCAAAAGAGAGATTGTGTTAATAAACAAACACGTTACTACTTCAGACAGAGTAATTAATGGGTAAAGATGTAACTGCATTTACTTACCCCCAAGCCATAAGAAGAACCTTCTCGTAGAAGACTGACGACAACTCCGAGTGGGCAAGACTGAACAATTGAAGCCCAACAAAGCATATATTAGGCACAAGTTACGGTCAAAATCAGAATAACAATTTTAGTCACCAAACCGATACTTGTCTAGATGATACTTGTCGTCTGACAAGTGCTAGTGTTAATATGACATGATGAGTCTAGCTTATATGTGACTAACTGACTAGTAAGTGGTTGGTGTCTTTGAGAGTTGT